CAAGTGGCTTTGACCACCCTGGTGCTCTGCATGGCCAGCTGGGTGCACAGGGCCAGCTAGGCCCAGAGGAAACCCCATTCTCTATCCAGCTCCTCTCTTGGGGGCACTTGCATTGGGCACAAGATCAGGCAGCTGCAGAGAGATCAGGCTGGTGGGGCACATGCAACTCTCCCCTGGGCAGACAGCAGGGGCTGGGAGGGATCTGCTAATGGGAGAAAGCTGATGAAGCGATGGCAGGGAGAGCAGCAGCCCAGAGGAGATGGACAAACTCCCACCAGACAGCGGGTACCATGAAAGGGGCTCAGGGGAGATGGGACACGGGGCCCTGCCTTTTACCAGTTCCAGTCTGGTCCCAGTGACCAAACCCCTCCAGCCCTGCACCCCTCTTTAGTCCCTTTGTGCACAGAGTGGTTGGGATTCGTCAGCGCGCACCCTTCCTGCCCACCCTCAGCTCCTAGTTGCCACCTCGGTCTGTGGGGCTGGGTGGTCACAATCTGTGCAGAGGGGAAGGAAAAGCAGATGAATACACAATCTGGAAGCTTGATTGGGACTCGAGTGTACAGGTCCTGACTTTGTCCCAGATGCCCCACGTACCGCACTGCACAGCACTGTTTGGTTCTGGGGCTCAGCTCCCACCTGTGACGTGGGGAGAACAGCCCTGCCCAGGTGCACTGGGTGTGAGGGGGAAATGCAGAGGGGAGGGGAGAAGTCACAGTCTGGGAACCGTCTGGGAGATGAGCTGAGGGAGCCCTGGGGTGGTTGAGCCCTGGACAAAGAGCTTCCCCCTGGGGTGGGTTATTAGAAGCAAAACTGACTCCTGTGTGGATGTGGACCCTGGGCTCCCCCCTCCCGCCAGCGCCACCCAGCTGCCATGGGGCCAGTGCAGGTGCTGGGGCCAAGCACCGACTCTGCTGCAGCCGGGACAAGTGTGGAGCGGAGCCCTGCTGAGCCCGGCTTTACCTGGCGACAGATGACACCGCGCAGCCCCGATGCTGATTGGTCTGCGGGGCTGGTGCTGTCCTCTCCCCGGGGCTGGGCAGCGTCCTGGGGAGCTGGTGCTCGGAGCCGGGCAGAGCAGGTCTCATTTAGGGACATCGAGGGGTGTCAGCTCCGTGTCCTGCGCAGCGATGGGGACCGGGGGGATGCCGGGGGCCGGGAGGCGCTGGGCCGGGGCTGTGCTGGTGGCACTGGCGGTGCTGGGAGCCCACGTGGCTCGTTGCACGGAGCCCCCAGGTGAGCAGGGCTCGGGGCGGGTCCGGCAGGACCTCGAGCCGCGGCAGCTCCGGGCTTTCCTGCAAGGGGAACCGATCTGCGGCTTTGAGGGACAGGGATGTCGGGGGTTTCTGTGCGGAGGGACCGCAATGCACGGCCGGGCAATGCTGCGGGGGAGCAGTGACCCCCCCCACCATGGACACCCGGGTGCTGCACAGGCAGTGGTCTGAGGTGGGGTCACTGGTGGGGCAGGGGGGTGCAGACGGCCGGGGGCGGGGCGCCCCGTGCGGTCCCAGAGCAGTGAGTGCCCGGGCACTCTGCCCCCCGGGGGTCTGCTGTGGGGGAGACCCTGACCCGCCTCCTCTGTCCCTCCCCCCCAGAGCATTTCCTCTACCAGGACAAGCAAGCGG